TCTCCACATGACTCCTTCAGCTCCAGGGCTCTAGGGTAGCTCCATGTGTCTTGTCAGCAAACATGTCTCGCAGGGAGTGAGTGTGTGTCCCATCTCCAGCAAGCTATTTATCTCCTTAGCACCTCCAAATGAGACCATCAAGCTGTGACTTGACTTAAACTCCACTCCTTCACTTTTAAATCTCAAGTTGACAACAGATTATGTAACTGCCACAGTTATGCACTCAACACTTACATATTGCCATGGAATGTGTGCTAAGGTTCTGAAAATCTTGTCTCTGTGACCATAGTAAGCTGAGTCACCAAGGTCATTGGACTGAGCTTCATTTGCCTTCAACCCATGGGCTGTTCACATTTTCCTTGGGAAAATCCAAATAGTCATTCTTTTGTTTTTTTAATGGCCACATGAGCTATAAAATTAATGCTGAAGTGACTGTGTTAAGGGGAAGCAAAGTTTGCCTCTAGACATGAACAGCTCTGAATGGCTGAGAATTCATATCTGCATCTTCTTCAGGGTTCCGCCTTTCTCTCTAGTCCAGGCATGGGGAACCTTTGCTTTGCAAAAGGCCATTTGGAAATTTATAACAATGCTCAGGCCATGTGGTCAAGCATCCCACCCCTAATGTGACGGTAGAGGAGCACTGGTAGCATAGTGGTTATGCATTGGGTTTCTAACCTCAAGGTCAGCAGTTCAGAACCACCAGCAGTGGGAGAAAGACAAGGCTTTCTACTCCTAGAAAGAGATACAGTCTTGGAAACCCATAGGGGTGGTTGTGCTCTATCCTATCGAGTGGCTATGACTCTGATTTAACTTGCTGGCGGTGAGTTTAGAGTTTAATGCGATGACTAGAACTGCTTCTCTTTAGGGAGGCATGTGATGTTAGCTGTTATTGGTGATTTCTTGGGCCTTATCCAGCCTGCTAGCCAGATGTTACCCACCCCTGCTCTAGTCAGATTAATGCATCCTGAACTTGCCTTGCACCTCCAGGCTCTCCATAACCCTCTACAAACTTAAAGCAGCAGTTCTCAACCTGTGGGTCACAACCCCTTTGGGGGTCGAATGACCCTTTCACAGGGTTCACCCGATTTATAACAGTAGCAAAATTACAATTATGGAATAGCAAAAAAAATGAAATTATGATTGGGGGTCACCACAACATGAGAAACTGTATTAAAGGGTTGCGGCATTAGGAAGGTTGAAAGCCACTGGCTTGAGGGGAGCTGGCTTTTGGAAACCTCCATTTGTTCTCTCCACCTCCTAAAGGTCTCTTGTCAGACAGACCAACTCGCAGGACCTAAGCCACAGCAGGGTCACGCAGACAGGAAGTTGCCATGGTCCAAACTCCCTGGGCCCGGCGTTACTTACCCTGTGGATGGTCTGCCTAAAGAAAGTATTCTGAGAAAGTCTTTGAAAGCCAGATGCATTCACTACACAGGCAGAGAGAATGGTGAATACTCTCCATAGGAGAAGCCAGCCTTTACTCATCTGACTTTGCCTTCAAAACCCTTAACCTCCAATAAGCAGAAGGTCATGTCCTTATCTCCAAATAGCTGGGGCAGGTAGGGGAGCAGGGTGTCACTACTTTTTTATGTTATTTACATTAAAAAGCAACACTATTTTTCTGCCTAATAGTCTTCCTTCAAGACATGTATCTTCATATATTTTTATGTGCTACAACTTGCAGCCTTAGGGGAGAATACAAACTGATTGACATTATCTCCCTTAGAAGTCTCTGTTCTTTATGGCCACCACTAACTCTCCCGGACACAACATCTTCTCCAGACACAATAAGCTCAACATCTTTATCTTTTCTGTATATATTCCATTTTCCAGTTCCTTGTGTCTGTTATGACTGGCTTCAAATAAATTATAGTACTAGACCCTGAAAAGTGATAGTGGGGAGAAAGGAGATAAGGGGCTTCTGGGGGGATTTGGAATTTCACATGTCTTCTAAATGCAGAGGGAAAAATAAACACCTGCGAAATATATTCAGGCACATGGAAATATAAAGTAAAAGCCAGCTAACTTTAGTGCATACATAAGGTTTAGAGAGAATGGCAACCAGAGTTGGTTAGTTCTTAGTTATCATGAGAAAGAGAAGAACGAAGTGTTTGCAAGCAAGAAGAAGCCAGCTGACTAAGGGGAAAGTGAAAATGCTCCTTGCTGTTCACTAATGCATCCGTCGCCATCACTTAGCACAAGGTCTGACTTAGTGTATAATACGTTTTTCTTGCAAATGAGGTGGGGTTTACATTTCAGATCACCAAGTTTACATTCAACAATTTAAACTACTAATCACCCCCCCCCCCCATAGAGGCCTGACTTATTTTAAGTGCACAATAAGTGTTTGCTCCTTGGACAGACTGGCTGATGGGGTGTAGCATTCCCAGTAAGAGTATGCCAGGTGGTATTTGTAAGTCATTCCTATATCCTGTATAACCCCTGGTCATAGAAGTTGTAGAGTTTTAGAGTAAAAACAACTTGTAGTAAAATATTATAACTATGCTTATCCTACTTTCCAGTTAAGGTTCAAAATAGAGTGTATTTTGGAGGATTCCTTTATGGAGGAAGCTCTTTACCCAATCGGTTCATTGTTCTCTCTTCAGTGGTCTGATAGCGTGCCCAGCACACCAGTTGACTAGTAGTCATCAAGCTAATGCCGACTCCTGGTCGCCCTGCATTAGTCCAAATAGAACTATGCTCCACAGGGTTTTCTATGGCTCAGTCTTTTCAGAAGTAGATATCCAGGCCTTTGTTTCTAAGGCATCTAGGCATGTTTTCGAACCTCCAACCTTTTCATTAGCAGCTGAGCCTGCTAGCAGTTTTGCCACCCTGGTTCTGACCCACAGGATGTGTTTAATCAATATTGGATGGATAGACAGATGCATGAATGAATGGACAGTAGGAAGGATGAATACTTTTCTCTCTAGGATTTGACAAGCAATGCAGGCTTTATTGAAAGATGAAATAAAGAATTTCTGAATGAGCTAGATGGTAGGCCAGTGGTTCTAGATTTTGGCTGCTCTAGATACTAGGAATGTTTTTATTTTGTTTTGTTTAACACTGATTTCTGGGGTCGACTCATGTAACATGTCCTGCTCTTTTCTGAGCTCTCCCAAGTGATTCTTGTAGCTAGGACTGGGTTCCATCACCTTCAGCCATCGGGGGTTGTGCCGTCATGATTAGTTGTGTCTCTCCCTCACTTATTGTACACTCCATGAGTTTAGATACCGGGACTGCCCTAGTCACCGATGTCGTCCTAGTGCCTGGCACAATGCTGGTCAGGCAGTAGACAGAAACAAATGGGAACAGAATAGATAGGTAGTTTCTTTCATTTAGAAAGAAGAAAATTACACAGTATACAAGAAAATTGCGTAGTACACCTGGGACAAAGAGGGAAAATGCCCCAAACTGATTGCCATCGGGTCAATGCTGACTCAGGTTGACGGGAATAGAAAGCCCAGTCTTTCTCCCCCAGAGCTGCTGGTTGGTTTCAAACTGCTGACCCATGAGGATCACAGCCCAGCTCATAACCACTACACCACCAGGGCTCTAGCACCATGAATTTCATTTTGTTTTAGGGGGCTGGGGGTAGCATTGTCTAATCACCTAGACTGTGGTACCTGTCTGCTTATCTGTCATCCATTGCATTGAATTCCAACTCACAGGGAACCTATAGGACCAAGTAGAACTGCCCTATAGGATTTCACCGCCACAAATCTTCACTGAAGCAGGCTGACTGTACATCTTTCTTCTGAGTCACTGATGGGTTCAACCACTGATCTTAGGGCTAGCAGCTGTGCCACTAGAGCTGCTTCTTACTCATAAGCCATTGGTTGGTTGGTTGATTTGGTGTGGTTTTTCTTGTGTACTTGCTGTCTTCTGTCCAGATGGTGTAGATAGTAGCCCAAGGTATTGGACTTTGTTGGGTCATTCCAATTTAAAGTAGTTTGTACCCTTATTCCCATCTGTACGTAGATCCCCAAAGTTTTCCTCACTGTATGTGTAAGAGGATGGCTCCATAACGTGATATTCAGTACTGCCCCTAGAAAGAATCATAAGCCCCTCTAGAAGATACACAGGATGCCACTCCAATTTATTTTCTCAACTTCAAAATCTACTAGCTAAGGTAAGTTAACAGATACTCTGAGCATTTCAGGATACATTGGAAATCCATGATCAAACTTCTCCTCCTATCTTAGTGTCTGTGATGAGCAGAAAAATATCTAAGAAAGGGGTACTATTACAAGTTTCCAAAAGATTGTGTGGAGGAAGGGGTATTGATGGGGATGGAAGAGAGCAAGGAGAAGGGATTTTTGAATGAAACTTAGAATATTTTCAGCAAAAGTGTATTTTGTGGTAGCACTACATTCACATGTGTATTTGCCCTTGTTTTCAGAATTTTTCCCCGAGAATACCTCCTGCAACAGATCCACCTCTATTCCCTTGCTGACCTCCAGCAGGTAAGCACTTGGAAGGGCCGTTTCATTTCTGTTTTCTCCCCAAAGAAGTCTCCCTATTGATTTTGTTCAGGGGATCTGAAGTTTGCCATCTTTGCAATGGTGTTCCCCACAAGCCCAGATGCTCCATTAATTTCCATTTGGAATGAAAAACAAATTTGTTTAAGAAGATATTATAGGCCAATGACAAGTGCTGTGCACTTTACATTGCAGTAAAATCATTCAACTGCTGTGAGAAACAGCTTGGCAGTCCCTCACCGAGTGAAACACAGAATTTACCAGCTGCCCCGGCAGAGCCACATCTAGGAATATACTCAAGAGAAATGAAAATGTAAGCCCATGCAGGAATGTGTACAGAAACTTCATAGCGATGTTGTTAAGAAAATCTCAAAAAGTAGGAGAAACCCAAATGTGTATCAGCTGGACAAATTGTGCCCATTCAGTAAAGTAGTATTTGGCCATAAGAAGGAATAAGTACCAAAGAATGACGCAGCATGGACGAACCTTGAAAACCTCATGCTGAGTGACTAAATGCTGTATATTGTACAACAAGTGTACTCATGTAAAATACCCAAAGCAGACCAATTCATAGAGACAGTAAGGAAATGAGGGATTACCTGACCTGAGGAATCAGAAGCGACTGCTAATGAGCACAGGGCTTATTTGTGGAGTGATACAAATGTTACCGTTAGGTAGTAGGGATATTTGCACAACTTTATGAATATACTGAAAACCACTGCATTGTCCATTTTAAAAGAGAATCTTAGGCAGCGTGGATTATATCTCATTATAAACATTTCATTGCCATATATATGGCAATGAACCGATTTAAACCTTGTGATTTGTGTTTAAGTCAAACAGTTGGATGACTTGAAGCTTTAGTAAAACATAACAGCATATAGAAGTTAAAAAAAAACAACCCACCTTTTTATACTTTTCAGTAGTGTGTGCCCTTTAAATGATTAACCAAGTTAGCAGTTGGGAATAAAATTGTTGTCTCTTCAGCCCCAAGTTCTGAATGTATTAAGCTTTGGTTAATCATTTAAACCAACAGCGCACTCCCCAAAGAGCTGTAAGACACTAAACAAAACGCTACTTTCCTCTCTAAATAGCTATTAGCAGCTCTTTCAGGACTCAGTTTTAAACAATAATCTTGTTAACTTTCAGAGCATCTCAAACCAAGGTGCTTCTGTTCTCTTGTTGGCTGTTTATCCCAAAGAAAATGAGGTCACCTTAATTGTGTCCAGGCCTTAACATCCTTCCACAATTCAATCATTTTAAGGTGTTTTTCTTACTTAGAAACTTAAGACTTTTGAGCTCTCCTGGCCCCCACCCCCCAGAGGTAGGAAAGTTATTTAGAATGGCAGAAATCATCCTGGGGAGTTTATTTAGAGAGGTCTGAGAGAATACCAATTTTAATTTTCACCTGGGTGTCAGGTTTAAACCTATTTGCACTTCTCAGCAGTCCTAACCCCTCCAGCCCTCTCTCCTGGGCCTTTTGCCTCAGAATCGAACAGTGGGATCTGCTGGCTCCACTGGGGAGGGGAATATTCTTAATTCCGATTTTCAAATAGTGTTCAAGGGAAAGACACAGGTAAAACCTCCACTCTGCATTCATCTGTTGGCTAGGACTCTTCCTGGTCATAATATCTGAGGACCCAGACACTCATTTGCAAAGTATCCTGAAAGGTTCATGCGGTCCCTGTAAAGGTGGTTTAAAATAGAATGGGTGGGCTCCACTGTGAATTCTCTTTGAGGATACCTTTCAAAAACGAGTTTTGATTCCAGATGAAGAGAAAGAATCAGAGTAATTCCATATTCATTTTGGGGTGTCAAAGTTGTTCCTCCAGTGGCCTAATAAAGCCTGCTTTTGAAAGCTTCCTATACCCTGCTGTCTCCCTCCCCCACCTCCGGACACACACTTTTTCTTTCTCCCCCCCGCCCACCCCCTCTCCTTGTAGTAATCAAACCACACATGCACCGCAGCAGCTTCCTTGAAGCTGTGGCAGCAGTATTCTTGGTGGGCCAGACCATTAGCCCCTGGAGCCCCATAAGCAGCTTAATCAGTTTTCAGCCTGGGTCGTAAAGTGATAAAGGCAGTCAACAGCTTATCAAACTCCCCAGGGCGGGGCTGCCTAGCTGTGCATCCATTTACTTCACAGCTCACTCCAACCTGGCTCTTTGTGCCTGCCTTTCAGAGCCCCAAACTTATCATATTGAGAGGAAGTTTAATTCAATTATGTTTTTACCAGAGGTGGGTTAAATTGGATTTAGCCTTTGATCTGGCTGTATCTCAGCTTTGGGTACATCTTCTCTCAGATTCTGAGTAAATTTGAAGCACATCTCCTGCATTTGCCAATATATAAGACAGTGGTTCTCAACCTTCCTAATGTCTCGGCCGTTTAATATGGTTCCTCATGTTGTGGTGACACCCCTCCCACCACCATAAAATTATTTTCGTTGCTACTTCATCACTGTCATTTTGCTGCTGTTATGAATCGGGCAACCCCTGTGAAAGGGTCATTCGACCCACAGGTTGAGAACCGCTGATATAAGGCAGAGGAACCCAGGGAAGTAGCAAAATCTATGGATTACCATGTTGTAGGAAAGCATGTTCATGGTACCAGCAAAGTCCGGCTTTCCTAACTGACCCAACCCCCAACCCATGGTGGTCTCAGCGCTGTTTTCCCCCCTGCCTTCATCCTCCAAGCTTGTGCCCCCGTCATTGGCGGGTTCAGAGCACATTCTTTTCCTTATGCTGAATTCTCTACCACTCTCCCAAGAGAGCACTCTCTATAAAAGCAGGCCTTTCTCTCACATAACATAACTACAGAAAAATGAATTTCAGTTGACAGGATTTTCAGATCAACTAAAACAAGTAAATGAAGAGTTGTAAGTTCTGATTACCGGCAACACAGGTACCTTCCATCATGGCGCAGGTATCTTTCTACAGTCTTCTCTGGTGTGAGCTTGATTTTCCCCATTAGCTTTTATTTAGGAAAAAAATAAGACATAGTTTTCCCTTAAAAAAAAAAACACTTAATAAACAAGTGAACAAAGGGGGATTATAAGTTAATGCTATATAACTTAAAGTTATAGCACACAAAATAAATATTATACTGTATAGATGCTAAAGGGGTTTGGGTACAGAAAATTTTGCACTTTCTTGTCTCTCTGGTTTCTCTATTAGAAGAAACGCTTGGTCATGTTTTAGCAGGTAGATTCAATTCACCAATTTGGCCGAAGCTTCCAGTACTTGGAGACCCTCTGTCCCCAGGGCATGCCGCACCATACCTCTCCTATGCCCAGTCCTCAAGCCCCAACCCTCCCTTACTTGGCCTTGCTACCAGGGCAGGAAGAGCCTCACTGCCCCGGAGTCAGTGCTCACTCATAGCTAACTCTCTCTGCCGGGGTGGAACTAACTGCCCTGGTGAGTGTCTGAGACTGTAGTCTGTACAGGAGCAGAAAGCCCCGTTTTTCTCCCAGGGAGCAGCTGGCAGTTTCCAATTGCTGATCTTGCTGTTAGCAGCCTGATACGTAAGCACTACGCTACCAGGCCAGGAAGAGCGAGTACTCCGCTCTGTCTTGTTACAACTACCTTTTGCCCTGTGACACGTGTGACAAACCGTCTTCCTATGCACATTTGCCTCTTTGATGCAGATAAGAAGGTTCCAGACGTTACCCGTTAGAGTACATTAGTATACTTAGTTAATACTCAAGAGTTCCTCGTTGCTCTTATGGTGCAAATCAGAAGCCTGGTTTAATGTGTCATTCTTGGGCCAGGTAAGTGATAGGAGAATTCTTCTAAAGTTCCTTTTGCTGAAAGAACAGGTCAGATTGGACTTCTAAATGTTGGCTACCTGTGCTCTTGTGACAAAACCTAAGATGTATATTAATGACTAGCCTTTCTGGTGTTACTCACCTTTGGGGTATATGTAAGTTAAGCATTGAATGATTCTATTTGTACATGATCCATGAGAACGGATACTGGGTGATCCCAAGGGTGAGGCTGTTGATTTGAGTAGCCCCTCCTCTCACAGCCTCTGCCTCTCACCACCCCACTCCCACCCCCAAGTGGGACAATTCAAGGACCTGGTTTCCTCATTAGTCCCTGCCACGGGACCTATATTTTCAACTGGACCCTACCTTTGTCTCAGCCCATTTAAATCCCAGTTAAAATGAAACATGAGTGGGGCTTTCCAAAAGTTCACTAAAAAATAGGAGTGAAAAGATAATAGATTCTTTTTCCCCACCAACTCTTTGAGAAGAATAAATGCTTATATGGACGTAAATGCATTTGTCTTACTAACAATCTGGAAATACAACATGATCTTTGATGGAGAGGGAGATTTCAGCAAATACATTTTAATGAGAGGAGAAAAAAATCGAGAAGTCTGGAATTTAGAATAGTTACTTCGAGAGATGTGAAGTGGGAAGCGTGCCCGAGGGGAGGGCCCCCAGCACTCAGAGCCAGGAAGAGAGAGGAGTAACCGAAGGCGGGCCACATTGCCAGCTGCCTGGGACCCGGCGGACTGTTTGTTTCATATTAAAGCAACAAACACTTCTACTAAGCAACTGACGTGACCCACGGGACAAAGCCAGTAAAGGTTTGATGAAAGATTGGACGGATGGATGGATGAATACATACACAAACCATACCTCACCAGCTCTCTGTCCTCCCTCCCCAAGAAAAGCAAACGAATTACTTTAATGTTCACCTCTTAAACACAACAAAATGAGAAATGTCGATCTGGATGATAAGGATTCTAAAACCAAATAAAAACCCCTACTTTTTAGATGTCCTGCAGACTTTCTGATCGCTCGCTAGACATTCCGGAACCACTGACTCTTCAGCTCAGCTTTTTTGCCAAACCTCAAGCCCTTGAGGATTGTCAACTGGGTGACCTCCATATGTGTTGCGCATGGCCCCGAGAGAAGTGACGGTGGTCCCACCTTGCAGGTGTTTGAGTTAGTGTACGCAATCAATCACCAGAAAGCAAGAG